AAATGTGACAAACCTGATCTGGTAAAAAGAAAACAAAATGAGCTTGAACAAATATCAACAAAACTGCAGTCAGCAACTTTTGGCTTGGAGCACATCTTTAGAGAAATGGGGCAGATCTATGAAGCCCATAAATCTCTGCAGAAACAAACAAAGAGGAGTTAGACTGACTGGTCTAAATACCCTGAGCTGGCTGCAGAGCTGATGATATCAGGACATCCCATGGAGCTGATGGATGGTGATGCAGGTCATGTGCCTTTGACATGGATCTCTAGTCTTTTAAAGGAAGTCATCAAGAGACTGGGTGACCAGAGAGTGTTTGTGTTGTCAGTTTTGGGCTTACAAAGCAGTGGAAAATCAACAATGCTGAATGCCATGTTTGGGTTACAGTTTGCAGTGAATGCTGGCAGATGCACCAAGGGTGCCTTCATGCAGCTGATCAAAGTGTCAGAGGAGATGAAGAGAGACTTTAAGTTCAACTATGTGCTGGTGGTGGACACTGAAGGACTGCGTGCTCTTGAATTAGCAGGTAACGCCGCTCTTAACCACGACAATGAAATGGCAACTTTTGTTGTTGGTCTGGGAAACATGACATTACTCAACATCTTTGGAGAGAATCCAGCTGAGATGCAAGATGTTCTGCAGATTGTTGTTCAGGCTTTCATGAGGATGAAGAAAGTCAAACTTTCTCCAAGTTGTGTGTTTGTTCACCAGAATGTGACAGATATTTCAGCTGCAGAGAAAAACATGGATGGAAAGAGACGCCTGCAAGAAAAACTGGACCAGATGACCCAACTAGCTGCCAAAGAGGAGGTTTGTGATGCAGAGTGTTTCAGTGACATCATTGCATTTGATGTACAAAAAGATGTCAAATACTTTGCCCAGCTTTGGGAGGGAAGTCCACCTATGGCTCCTCCAAATCCAGGTTATAGTGAGAGCATCCAAGAGCTGAAGAACATCATCCTCTCCAAATCTTCACAGTCTGCTGGGATGACACTGTCACAGTTCAAAAGCAAGATTCATGACCTGTGGAATGCCCTGTTGAACGAAAACTTTGTTTTCAGTTTCAAAAACACACTTGAAATTAAAGTGTACAGAAACCTTGAGGTTCAGTATGGGAACTGGACCTGGGCCCTGAGGAGCAACATGTTGACCATTGAAAACCAACTGTACAACAGAATTGAAAATGGAAAACTTGACAAGGTTGAGCTCAGTTATCTTTCTACAGAAATGAGCCGAACATATGGAGAAATCCAAAAAGAAATGTCAAAGTACTTTGATAATGACAGAGACAAAGAAATGTTGGTTCAGTGGCGAGGCACATTTGAAATCAAAATCAAGGAGTTTCAAGAAGAACAGGTGAGAGGAGTGAAAAGAAAACTGGATGAAGTTATCCAGCAGAAGAAGGCTTGTAAAAAGCTTGATGATCAGAAGACAGAGTTTGAGAACAAGCTGCTACAGAAGAGCAAAGAGCTCGCTCATCAGTTAAAACACAAGACACAAGATGAAGAGGAACTTAAACAGCAGTTTGACTCTGTTTGGAGAGACTGGGTGAGAGAACTAACTGCAGATACAAAACCTATTGAAGACATCAACTTGGAGGAAGATCAGTCTACTATCCTTCATGAGCTTGGTTTTGAATGGGCTCTTATTAATGAATCCAAAAGCAGTGGCAGATACAAAAACATATCAGAAGTTGGTGATTACTCTCATTATGTGACACTCACCAAGTATCAGGAGCTTTGTGACGAAAGCCAACAATCAGAAGATGAAAAGATGGTAAACAAGAACGCAAATGGGCAAGGAGGATATTCATGGAGAACTCGATGGGTGTCTTTTAAAAAGAAATTTCGATGTGTGTCAACACAAAAAAGAACACATAAAAAAGAATTATATACATCAAGCAATTCTTTACCATATGAAGAACAAAAATGCTTCAGATCCCTCATTGACGAAGTTGAAGAACAGTCACTTGATATAATCAAGAACAAACCTGTAGCTACAAGAGGCTACAGATCAACTTACTTGCAAGAAGTTGCCAAAAATGTCAAAGAGAAAGTGACAGAATTTGAATCAGAGAGGAAATTTGCTCTGAAGAGGGAGTTTACAGTTGATCTCTTACTGTATGTGTTTGACATAGCAGGGACTTGGCTTTCAGAGTCCCACGAGAAATTCAAGAAGAAGGATGATGCACTGGTTTATTTAGAAAGCAAAAAGGATAAATATTACAACATTTTCAGAAGCTTCTGTAAAGGAAACTCTTCTGCTGTTGTACTTGGAGAACTGATCTGTGGAAAACTGAAGGTTTCCACTGTTGAGGCTGTCTGTAAAAAGACTGCCATTGATCTAGCTGGAGAGATGAAGTGCAGTTTCCCAGCATTCAATGGGAACAGACTGAACCTGGAGAAACATGTGTTGAAGTCACTGGCAGAGAAAGAGGACTTCAGTGGTTTCATCACCTACATCCATCAACCAAGGAAACATGTGGAGAGGTTTATAAAAGTGGAAGTAGAGAAATACATCTTCACATCACACAAAGATAAAGCTCGGGATATACTCAAGAAAAATGTTGAAGACATGAAACAACATGTGAGTCAGGCTTTATTTACTGCAACAGAGAAAGTCAAAACCCAGAGAGGAGACACAGACATGTGGCTGGAGGAATTTACCAGTTCTCTAAAAGATGATCTGACATTTGATTCCATTTGTCCTGAAAACTTCAGAGACATAAACCGTTTTGAGTTTCTGAAAGAAGAGATAGAGAAAGGCCTTGAACCCATCATGAAGGAGATGAACAACCTCTCACTGAATAAGATGAAAAAATTCAGACTGAAGCCTGATCAGATACTTATCGATCAGCTGTGCAAGTGCTGCTGGGTAACGTGTCCATTCTGTGCAGCTGTTTGCACCAACACCACTGAAGATCACAGTCCTAATGACCACAGTGTCCCTTTTCATCGCCCCTCTGGGATTGAAGGATGGCACTATAGAGGCACAGTGAAATTGGTCATCGATTTCTGCACAACTTTAGTTGCAAGTGATGGAAAATTTTATCCTGATTCACATTCAGATAAGCTCGTTCCCTATAAAAAGTACCGAACTGCTGGACCAATGTTTGCTGACTGGAGAATTACCCCTGATGAGTCCAATCTGACATACTGGAAATGGTTTGTGTATCGATTTCAAAAACAACTGGAAGAACACTATAAATTAAAATTCCAGGGCAGAGGAGAAATTCCCAGCGAGTGGAGAAAATACAGTAAAGAAGAAGCCATTAAAAGTCTGGATGAAATGTACAAACTGTGAGTGAACAACACAACTACTCTGCTGAAAATGATGATACTTGTTTCCATGTGACTATTCATGAATCAAACTCCTATAAAACAACATTCACAGACTTTTACTGATTTTATCATTGACAGGTTTTTCTGCCTGTGAATAATAAATGTGGACAGTAAATGAATCATTACAAATTACAGTAAACACAAGTCTGATAGCTTTATACAAATTAATACTTATAACAGTAGAGCACAGAACAGCAATAATGATATGGAGGATGGAGTGAGTCAAAAATAGATATGTTAATATTAGTATTAAATCAATATGTCATCTATTAAAATGGTTAATGTGAACTTCTTAAAGATAAATGTTTTGATGAAGGTGAAACAGAAGACAATATGTAATCTTTCCATTTATTTTGTTTGAAGAGACAAAGAGAAATGATGAATTTGATGAATGTATTAATGAATATTTTGAAGTTTTACTAAATGAAAATACATGAAATCTGAACTTCTGAAGTTCAGTGATCATGGAAAGATGAGTGGGAAGGTTGATGAGAGACATGTTGTCAGATGATCGACTTCTTAGAACAAAGAATGGAGGGTATATTTCTTTAACCTGTGTAATTCATTTCTAAAACTTAAATCTGAAAATCCTGTTAAACAAGTTTTGCCTGTTTGTATTTTTGTAAGTCTTTACATTTTAAGTTGAATCATGTTAACTGATCCAGGATGCTTTATGTTGAAGACGTATTTGAAGTGTTCAGCTGTGTTATGTTAATCTCATTTAAAATAATCTGTCATTATATCTACAGCAGCATGAGTTTTGTTGTTTTGTTGTCAATGTGAGGAAAATATTTCTAAAGGATTTTATCATTTATTAAAAATCAACCTGATAAGAAAATCCCACATGGCTCTTAAGCTTTCTGCTACGTTGTCTGCACATAGGTGTCACGCTTCTGTTCTCTGGCTGATCATTTTTCTATCCCAGTTTCCCAGCATGTATGTTTTCAGTCACAGATGACATCAAATTCAGGCAGCAGTAAAATCCAGTTACAGATTGTGACTTCTGATGTATCTGAGATGATTTCTAAAACCAGGTTTCACAGGGACTCTCAGTCGACTGTTCCTCTGTTTGTATGTGATCTGGTGCCTTGAAGGAGAACTGCCAGGTAACACACATTTTTCATAGACGGCTTCAATAGTAATGTAGAGGCTCATTGGCTGAGTTCAGCATTTTAACTTGTCACAGCATAAACTATACAATGTATATCCTTTATAAAAGACTGTCACATTTTAACTAAATCTGATCTATTTTAACCTAAATATCTTTTCATCTTCAACACAGTGCAACAACAACAGCTGTTCTTCACAGACAGCTGTCTTACCAAATAAAATATAAATTAATTGTGTCTTGCTAACACTTTTATGTAAAGACAATATCAAAAAGCTAAAATACTTTAGAAAAATAAGGCATCAAGTCACATTTACATCAATGTATAATTGCTTCAACATGTATGACGATGTATTTGTTACTTTCCTCTAAGTCACAACGTTTCAGGGAAATCAAAACAGAAAGAACAGTTAATCTCACTTTCTCAGATCCTCACGCCTCTCACGTCACATCTGATTTGTTCAGAGCAGGGGGGAACCCAGAATAAAATCCTCTGATCAGTATATAAAGCCTAGTAACAACCGTTAGGATTCACAAGACAGGTTCATCTACACAGATCAGACTGAGCTGAGGAAACACGAAACAAAGGTGAGTTTGTACATTAATATAATGTGTATAACAGACATTGACTGCTTTAATACAAACTTCAGTTTCCTTACTTTGATATTTGTTCTTTAAATCTTGACTGCTCTGTGTGGAAGAGGTTTTATTGTGAACACTTGCTGTGCAGAGACACGTTTATTTTATCTTGACTTCAGATTTGATCTTTTTTTCATGAGTTGAACTCATAACTGAAATCTTGATCTTGAATCTTCATTGTTTAAATCATGGATACTGTGCACGTGATTCATAAACATGCTAATTACAATATAAACGGTATTTAACAGAGGTGGAAGTTCTACTTTGTGAAGTGTGATCGTCTGAACTGCGTGTGGAAAAATATTTTTTACTTTCACTTTTTTTAAAGTTTATTTTTTGGGCTTTTTTATGTCTTTATTTGATAGTACAGTAGAGACACAGGAAATGGGGAGGTAGAGAGAGGGGGAATGACATGCAGCAAGGGTTGTCCGATGCAGGACTTGAACTGGGGCCAACTGCAGCAAGGACTGTGGCCTCTACACATGGAGCGCCTGCTTATAGCACTACGCCACACGACGCCCCTTACTTTCACTTTTGATGCGGTTGAACAACAGTTTGTCTGAGACACAGTGGTTTAGTTTTCACAAGGAGGGGTTGGTGTGGCATGCATGCTGGTTGATAAAGACACATTTAAGAAAAAAAGAGAAAAATTTAAATAGAATTTGAACAGAAGGAAGAGACGTTGACAATTAGGAAGTGGAGCAACATGGGTGGAGATTATAGTTAGACTCAGAAACAGTGCACAAGGACATAGTCTTCCTGACTGAACTTCCACTAAGCTTCAGTTCCCTTCACTATCATTCGCCATTTTGAAAATGTCATGTTTGCTCACTTTGAAATTATTTCAGCAAAATACACAGAAAATTCGCACTTGCATTTTAAGAGAAAAAGTTTGTCAATATTTACAACATTTCTCCTTCAGTTCAATCTTCAAGATGTTGACCAAAGTATTTTATGTTAGACTTACTTTCACAAAGAGAAGAACTAGGTTTTATGTTCTCCTGATCAAATCATTTTTTGAGTCAGTTTGAATAGTGTCGTGCATTTTCATTTAGTTAATTATCGCTTTTTTCTGAATGGCTCTTCTGACTGTAAAGATGAGCAGCTGATGAGATGGAGGTGGAGAACCATGATAACACAGCAGCAGGAGGAGGAGGAGGAGGAGGAGAGTCTGTAATATCATCTGTGACAGATGACAAAGGTAATCTGAAACTGACAATACAAACATTCATAAATTAAGAATTGTTGACAAAACACATATTGTTTTTATGCTGATCCTGTTCAATCTGTTTTTTCTTACATGACCTGTCAGTAGATGAGCTGGAAGAAAGTTCAGCTCAAACCAAGGTAAAGATCAGTCACCATCATACAGCTGTATTTATTCTCACAGTATCCCTTTTTTAAAGTCATGTCATCATTTACCACAAGTGAGTCCTTCCCTAAATCTAAAATTATAACATTTTTCAGAATACACACACTGTCCAAACATCAGACCTGTGAAATGATGTTTTCTTCTAGAACTGAGCCGGTTTTCATTTCATGAGCTGCTTCATGTTTGTCAGTGGATGAGTTAACTTCACAAAACAAAGAAAGCTTTTTATTATATTGATATCCCACCTGCAGACATGCACACCTTCACATTAATGTGATGATAGTTTAACACGCTGGTCTCACGTCTGAATAACCACCTTGGTCACTTTAATGTGAAAGTCACAACAGGAATCTTACTGGGTCAGACCTGCTAACATTTCAGTGGCTGCAGAATGATGCACTTTTCTTAGTTTTGGTTTCCTGATGAAAATATTTTAATGTCAGTGGCTCTAACCTGGAGAACTAATCGTTACATGAAATCAATTATTTTCTCAGTCTGGTTCAGTGACTGAACCTGGTGAAGCTGAACATCCAGAGCAGAACGATACAACCACAGGACGAGAGTCTGAAATGGAGTCTGTACCATCTGTACCAGACTTTGACCCTTCAGCAGGAGAGGCTGATGAAGTCAAAGAGGTTGACACTGTAAGCAGCACCAGCGTTGGTGAGCTGTCTGCAGAGGAGAGTGAAACATTGACGGACACAAGTCCAACATCTCAGACTGTTTCTACAAACATCAAAGAACGTGAGAATCATTTCATTTCTTTTTCATTTGTTTTAACTTTCAGCAAAATCACAAACAAAACTATGAGAACATTATTTCAATATATAACATACATATGTTCTTTTTGTTTCAGTGATGCCTGAGCTCACTCTTGTGTTAACTGGTGACACAAACTCTATTGAGGTTGGATTAGATAACATCTTACTTGACCATGACGATCAAACACATGACGAGCAGTTTTCATCCAAACTGTATGATTTGTGTGGTCGACACATCTGTGTCATTAACATGCTTGATCAACAAAACACAAACAAACACAAATTCCCATTAAATCAGGGGATTCATGCCTTTCTCCTACTGGTACCAAATGGTCTGCACAGCAGCCATTACAGCTCAGGAGTGCAGTGGTTAGAGGAAGCTTTCGGGAAAGAATCACTTTCTTATTTAATGACAGTCGTGACTCATGATTCAGATGAAGAATGTGACGGTGCACTGACAGACCTGAAAGCCTGTAGCAGTTTTGTTGAAGAAAGATACCACACATGTACAAAGAGTATGAGAGATGAACATGAAATAATAGCTCTGCTGAAAAAGATAGACGTCATGGTCTCTGACAATGATCCACACTGCTACAGTGGACCGACATGTGGTGACATTAAAGAGCAGGAAGAAGACCTGGACCACAAATCCCACGAAGAAGAAAAGACTGATGTGTTTCATCACAGTCAAAGAGGTGAGATTTTTTTTATCACTGTTTATTTACTCAGACTGTCTCATATATTTCTTTACAGCACAAACAAACATCTTCTCGCACGGTACGACCCTCATATACACATCTCTGTTATTAATATCTCATAGCATCATGTTGTGTGTGTCCTTCCTTTGTCTGTTCATCTGTGTCCACCTCTCCCTCTGACCAAGCACATCACATACACTATATTTTCACATCCTCCCTTCTGTTGTCTCTCTAAAAATTTAACAAAGTTCCACAAAGAGTTGCATTAACATAAAATCTGGATAAAAAAACTAATTAAATAAGCATTTATATCATCTCTCTTTATTGTAGATGATCATTCTTATGGAACAATGGTGCGAATACACATATCATTTGCCCAAATAAAGATTTTGTCACATAATTGTCGCAAATCAATCTTAATTGTTAACTGACTAAAAATTATTTCTCTTATGTTTTTTTCCTGCAATCTGCGTCTTACGTTATCCTACAGTAGATCAGCCGGAGGAGAGAGCAGCTACAACACAGGTAAAGGTGAGATCTTTTGATTCTCTGTAGTCATGGTCATACAGCACACCTGTGACCTCAACTAAAGATTGGAGCTTTTGCCTTTTTACTTTAGACTTGAACAGTGTTTGACTCCACAAAGCTCCTGGTTTGACACTGGATGAGTGAAGCTGAAGATACTTTTACTGAACAGTTTACTTTCTTCTCCCTCAAATACAAACCTACTTTACAGCATTTAGTTCCCCTTACTTTTATTTTTGGTTTTGTTGTACTCTGAATAGTGTACCACTGTGTTCTTAATCTCAATGGTTGTAGCCTATTTATTTTAATATTAAATTGAATTAAATCATCTGTTTTCTCAGTGTAACTCAGTTCATAATGGAAAACACTCAGAGAAGAAGAATGACAACACAGCGAGAGGAGGAGGGTCTGAAATCAAGTCTGTTGCATCTGCAACATGTGAGAAAATCATTTTTTAATGAAAATGTTTTTGTGCAATAGCAAGTCCAAACTCCCACAGTCCAAAGACATGTAAATGGGGACTAGGCTGATTGAATACTCTAAATTGACCATAGGTGTGACTGTGAGATGGTTGATAGTGAATGGTTGTATGTCTTTGTGTGTTTGCCCTGCGATGGACTGGCGACCTGTTCAGGGTGTACCCCGTCTCTCGCCCGAAAGGATTCTGGGATAGGCTCCAGCCCCCCCGCGACCCTACTAGAGGATAAGCGGTAGAAAATGAATGAATGAATGAGAATAATGTACTGATTCAACTCTTGTTCAAGCTCATTGTTGTCTTGCAGGCACCTCAGATGTGGATACAAGTGGAAACAAGGATAAGGTCAGAAAATACAAATTTATTTAAGGACTTGAGGACTTTTTACTTTATAACCGTGTGATGTTATCATTTAATTTACATACAGTAAATGATTATTTATTATTTCCAGCAGTCAATGGTGATATCTGAAGAGAAGAATAGAAACATGGAGTATCAAAGAGAACTTGAAACGTTGCTTCACAGACTTCACCTTCAAGACAAACAGAAGTTGTGTCCAACAGATTTTCTTAAAATAGGTCCACCAGTGAAACAGGACCATGAAACATTTGAGGAAGATCTAGCTCATACTTTTCTTCAGAGGTTGATGATGTTAGACTACAGAGCCAGATATATTCCTGTAAGACAAGACAGTGCTGAGGTGAGCCATACAACATCTGTTGCAGAGTCTGACACTGTTGACACAGAAGACAGTGACTTAGATGCTCTTTTTAGCACCAACGTTGACTGTGATCAATCAGATCAGACTCATGTTCATCCGATGGACGTTCAAATGGCAGTATTTCACTGCTCAGACAGCTTCCTTAAGCAGAACATGATGACAAAGCTGTCACAGTGTCAGTACGCCTTACCTTTGCTTGTTCCTGACCCAGTCACACTGGATGTTGAGTGTCCTCTGTGGACATTCAGACAAATAAGAAAAACCTGGAAGACAACTCAAATCAAGGGTGATTCAAACATTGTCACCATGAAGAGTTTGCCCATCTGCAAAGCTGAGACACCCATGGTGTCATTTTTCCGCCTGGGTTCACTGTCAGTGTCTAAATCTCAGCTGATGAACACTTTGATCAACGAGCGTCACAACACCTTCTTCCACAGAAACTGCCCAGGTAGCACCAGATCTCGCCTTTTGATGGATGGTGTGGCAGAGATTGCCTGGTACTGTCCTGCTGGAAAACCCAACGATGCCTTCACTGACTGCACTGCCTTCTGTAATCTTCATGGTGATGCTCTGTTGATTGAAAAACAGCGTAAGATACTGACTGAAAAATCTTCAGTCAATGTTGTTCTGTTACCAACTCTGAAAAAAGGTGACAAAAGTAATGAAGTTATCTCAGATCTTCTGAAGTCTCCAAAGCCTCTGATTTGTCTCATTACTGATAATGATCGTGTTGCAGTTCAGATGAAAAAGGGAAATTACAAAATAGGTCTAAAAGACAGAAGCCAGTCAGATGTTTCCGAAGAACTGAAAAGGATCATTAGAAAGATCTTGTCTGGATCACAAACATCCTTCCAGCTTGAAACCATGGCCGAGGTCTCTGGGATCAGAGTGGATGAAGAAGACACAGTCTGCCAAAAAGGGAAATCTGCTGCTATGAAAACAGTGAATTTACTTCAGGGGATGGAAGTTTCAGAAATCAAAGATAAATTCCTCCCTTGTCATGGCCGACTGTGGCATGAGTGGTGCAGAATAAAGAAAGAACTGTATCACCTCAAAGGACATGTTGAGAAGGAGAAATGTAAAAGGCAACAGGAACTGAAGAAAATACGAAAAGAACAATGTGATGCTTCCTGTAGTGAACTGGTGAAGTTGTTCATTGAAAGTCTCTCATCTTTGCCATCAACAGACAAAGAGTATTTCCTGAAATGGACTCAGATCTTAATAGACGCCCTCTCCACAGATGATCTCACGTCAATTCTCCAAAGCTATGATAAGAAGTGGTCTGAGGTCTTGGCTCTGAAGAAGAAACGTGACAAACCTGATCTGCTAAAAAGAAAACAGACTGAGCTTGAACAAATATCAACAAAACTACAATCAGCAACTTTTGGCTTGGAGCACATCTTTAGAGAAATGGGGCAGATCTATGAAGCCCATAAATCTCTACAGAGACAAACAAAGAGGGGTCAGACTGACTGGTCTAAATACCCTGAGCTGGCTGCAGAGCTGATAATATCAGGACATCCCATGGAGCTGATGGATGGTGATGCAGGTCATGTGCCTTTGACATGGATCTCTAGTCTTTTAGAGGAAGTCATCAAGAGACTGGGTGACCAGAGAGTGTTTGTGTTGTCAGTTTTGGGCTTACAAAGCAGTGGAAAATCAACAATGCTGAATGCCATGTTTGGGTTACAGTTTGCAGTGAGTGCTGGCAGATGCACCAAGGGTGCCTTCATGCAGCTGATCAAAGTGTCAGAGGAGATGAAGAGAGACTTTAAGTTTGACTATGTGCTGGTGGTGGACACTGAAGGACTGCGTGCTCTTGAATTAGCAGGTAACGCCGCTCTTAACCACGACAATGAACTGGCAACATTTGTTGTTGGTCTGGGAAACATGACATTGATCAACATCTTTGGAGAGAATCCAGCTGAGATGCAAGATGTTCTGCAGATTGTTGTTCAGGCTTTCATGAGGATGAAGAAAGTCAAACTTTCTCCAAGTTGTGTGTTTGTTCACCAGAATGTGACAGATATTTCAGCTGCAGAGAAAAACATGGAGGGAAAGAGACGCCTGCAAGAAAAACTGGACCAGATGACCCAACTAGCTGCCAAAGAGGAGGTTTGTGATGCAGAGTGTTTCAGTGACATCATTGCATTTGATGTGCAAAAAGATGTGAAATACTTTGCCCAGCTTTGGGAGGGAAGTCCACCTATGGCTCCTCCAAATCCAGGTTATAGTGAGAGCATCCAAGAGCTGAAGAACTTCATCCTCTCTAAAGCTTCACAGTCTGCTGGGATTACTCTGTCACAGTTCAAAAGCAAGATTCACGACCTGTGGAATGCCCTGTTGAAAGAAAACTTTGTTTTCAGTTTCAAAAACACACTTGAAATTAAAGTGTACAGAAACCTTGAGGTTCAGTACGGGAACTGGACCTGGGCTCTGAGGAGCAACATGTTGACCATTGAAAACCAGCTGTACAACACAATTGAAAATGGAAAACTTGACAAGGTTGAGCTCAGTTATCTTTCTAAAGAAATGAGCCGAACATATGGAGAAATCCAAAAAGAAATGTCAAAGCACTTTGATGATGACAGAGACAAAGAAATGTTGGTTCAGTGGCGAGGCACATTTGAAATCAAAATCAAGGAGTTTCATGAAGAACAGGTGAGAGGAGTGAAAAGAAAACTGGATGAAGTTATCCAGCAGAAGAAGGCTTGTAAAAAGCTTGATGATCAGAAGACAGAGTTTGAGAACAAGCTGCTACAGAAGAGCAAAGAGCTCGCTCATCAGTTAAAAGACAAGACACAAGATGAAAAGAAACTTAAACACCAGTTTGACTCTGTTTGGAGCGACTGGGTGAGAGAACTAACTGCAGATACAAAACCTATTGAAGACATCAACTTGGAGGAAGATCAGTCAACTATCCTTCATGAGCTTGGTATTGAATGGGATCTTATTAATGATTCCAAAAACAGTGGCAGATACAAAAACATATCAGTGGCTGGTGATTACTTTCATTATGTGTCACTCGCCAAGTATCAGGAGCTTTGTGACAAAAGCCAACAGCCTCAAGAGAGGGAAGGGGACAAAAGAGAAAAGGAAACATCTAGACAATTTGGTGACTATGTTTCAAAAACAGGTACAAAAGTATTAAGTTACATTAAAGGGACTTTTCAGCATGAAGAGCAACAACTGATCAGATCCCTGATTAACAATCTTGAAAAACTGTCACTTAATATAATCAAGAACAAACCTGTAGCTACAAGAGGCTACAGATCAACTTATTTGCAAGAAGTTGCCAAAAATGTCAAAGAGAAAGTGACAGAATTTGAATCAGAGAGGAAATTTGCTCTGAAGAAGAAGTTTACAGTTGATCTCTTACTGTATGTGTTTGACAGAGCAGGGACTTGGCTTTCAGAGTCCCACGAGAAATTCAAGAAGAAGAATGATGCACTGATTTATTTAGAAAGCAAAAAGGATCAATATTACAACATTTTCAGAAGCTTCTGTAAAGGAAACTCTTCTGCTGTTGTACTTGGAGAACTGATCTGTGAAAAACTGAAGGTTTCCACTGTTGAGGCTGTCTGTAACAAGATTGCCATTGATCTAGCTGGAGAGATGAAGTGCAGTTTCCCAGCATTCAATGGGAACAGATTGAACCTGGAGAAACATGTGTTGAAGTCACTGGCAGAGAAAGAGGACTTCAGTGGTTTCATCACCTACATCCATCAACCAAGGAAACATGTGGAGAGTTTTATAAAAGTGGAAGTAGAGAAATACATCTTCACATCACACAAAGATAAAGCTCGGGATATACTCAAGAAAAATGTTGAAGACATGAAACAACATGTGAGTCAGGCTTTATTTACTGCAACAGAGGAAGTTAAAATAGAGAGAGGAGACACAGACATGTGGCTGGAGGAATTTACCAGTTCTCTGAGAGATCAGTTGACATTTGATTCCATTTGTCCTGAAAACTTCAGAGACATAAACAATTTTGACTTTCTTAAAGAAGCGATAGAGAAAAGCCTTGAACCCATCATGGAGGAGATGAACAACCTCTCACTGAATGAGATGAATGAGTTCAGACTGAAGCCTGATCAAATCCTCATTGATCAGCTGTGCAAGTGCTGCTGGGTAACGTGTCCATTCTGTGCAGCTGTTTGCACCAACACCATGGAAAATCACAGTCCTGAAAAGCACAATGTCCCTTTTCATCGATCCACTGGGATTAAAGGATGGCACCATAGAGGCACAGTGGAACTGGAAGTTGATTTCTGCACAACAAATGTTGCAAGTGATAAAAGTTTTTACCCCCATCATGACTCAGATAAAAGTATTCCTTATAAACAGTACCCAGAGGGTGGGGATGAGTATGCTGCTTGGATGATCACTCCTGATGAGTCTAAACTCACATACTGGAAATGGGTTGTGTGTCGATTTCAAAAACAACTGGAAGACCACCATGAATTAAAATTCCAGGGCAGAGGAGAAATTCCCAGCGAGTGGAGAAAATACAGTAAAGAAGAAGCCATTAAAAGTCTGGATGAAATGTACAAACTGTGAGTGAACAACACAACTACTCTGCTGAAAATGATGATACTTGTTTTCATGTGACTTTTCATGGATCAAACTCCTATAAAACACAGAGGAATAATAGGAATTTGGAGAATGAGTGAGGCATTAAAACTAATGTTAATAATATCTACAAAGTTTGTAAGTGTGAACTTCTTTATATGAAAAATGTTCAAATGAACATAAAGCAGAACACAATGTTTTTTTATTTGTTTGTTTTTGAAGAGACAAAGAGAAATTATGAAATTCATGCATTTATCAATATTAATGAAGATTTTGAAGTTTTATTAAATGAAAACACGTGAAATCTGAACTTCTGAAGTTCAGTGATCATGGAAAGATGAGTGAGAAGGTTGATGAGAGATGTTGTCAGATGATCGACTTCTTACAACAAAGAATGGAGGGTATATTTCTTTAACCTGTGAAATTCATTTCTAAAACTTAAATCAGAAAATCCTGTTAAACAAATTTTTCCTGTTTGTATTTTTATAAGTCTTTACATGTTAAGTTGAATCATGTTAACTGATCCAGGATGCTTTATGTTGAAGATGTATTTGAAGTGTTCAGCTGTGTTATGTTAATCTCATTTAAAATAATCTGTCATTATATCTGCAGCAGCATGAGTTTTGTTGTTTTGTTGTAAATGTGAGGAAAATATTTCTAAAGGATTTTATCATTTATTAAACTGATCATTCAGTGACGACACAAAAACACCTGTTGACTTTAACCTTTCATGTTATTAATGAGCATAATAAAAATAACTACATCATATATATTGAAAGACCATGTTTCTTTTTTGTTTCTTAAATGACAAAGTTTTAATTTCCACCTTTGAGATCTGACATCTGTTTGTAGAAGACCCCACCTTTTGTATCTGATCCATGGTTCATAGTAAAGTCTTCTTCCTAACTGTTTCTATTTGATAAGACTTGAAAATCACCTTATGTCTATTTGACCTTTTCTCAACCTGATAAGAAAATCCCACATGGCTCTTAAGCTTTTTGCTACATTTTCTGCACATAGGTGTCACGCTTCTGTTCTCTGATCGTGACTTTTCATGTATCTGAGCGGACTTCTAAAACCAGGTTTCACAGGTAATCTAAGTGATCTGTTCCTCTGTTTGTATGTGATCTGGTGCCTTTAAGTAGAACTGCTACAATTCAGTATTGCACCTCAGTTAAGTTATTTGGGACTCACAAGAGAAAGACTTTTAAAAGGAGATGGTCAAAAGCAGCAGAGGCCAAGATGTCCTGACTTTTTGTCTCTAGTCTGCATCAAGCTCTAAAACCACTGTATCCTACATTTCCCATACTGCAATTCAAGTGTCTGCCATTAAACCCCATCTTGCCTTGTAGATGTCCACTTCTTTGAAACCCCACACCTCAAGCTGAACATGTCGGTTAAATGTAGAGTACTATAAGTTTGGATGAATGGGGTTTAAATAACTTTAGCACAGTTAGAAAAGCTAAAAACTACCATTGGTTGCAACTTGCCACTGTCGGATCATTAAGACGGTTCACCAAAGTGCATTTTACTATACACATTATTAATTTATAACTGTTTTGTTACTTCACTTCTGATAACGTTAAATTGGGTCTTTATTATTTAAAAGTACTCACCGAAAAAGGTTGTACGGTCCAAATTTACAGAAGCTTGACAGATTTAATCTGTTGCAGTTTCTCATTGTGACCACTGGATGGCGGTAAAACTCATGTACATACGTTGAAATCATTACATGGGCTTTGTATTGGTTAAAACAAACGATGCATCAGTAAAAAAAAAAATCGGTATGAATTTATTCATTGTCTCCTTTGGATAAAGAAAGGTTAATATTTCTGACTGCTGACTGTGACCACTTGTGGAAAATAAAAATGACATTAGCTATCCTCAACAACAACTTCCGGTATTTTAACGGGTGTGACCTATAAAGTAAAGAACGAGCTGCCGGTGGATACACATCCAGGTAACTGCGACTAAGGTGAGTTTTTATTTTTATTTTAAAAGGATATTTTCCTTTTTAGCAGACGAAGGAGCGTTTGTATGAGTAACCGGTGCTACCTCTAATAAAGGTAAATCGGGGTGTTTACGTGTTTGAACCTGCAGCAGCCTACAGTAGCTAGCAGCTAAGTAGCAAGCATCTGCGAGTAATATTCTTGCTCTTAGCTTCTGTCGAGTTGTTTTCTCAAACTTTAGATACATGTATCTCCCTGCAGAGACATAATAGAACTGTTTTTGCACAGGTAGAATATTCATTGCGAGAAATAAACTTAACCTCGTGTAAAACTGGTGTAATGCCCCTTTTATTGGATTGTTGCTCTCTGTATGAAAACATTTGAGGTTTGTGTCACTATTTGTGAGAAAATATATTTCAAAGACAGGATCTGGATATAGTTTATTACACTGACCCTCAGAGACAACAAAACAAGACCACATACTGAATATACCATATACTGAAGAGCTACATCTATTAATGATTAATATTTCGTACAGTATCTAAACTGATGACCACAGTCTGCATGTGTTACAGCAGCTGTATCTTTTAGCAGATTTTGAAGGAAGTCAGTTTGAAGTCCCCTGTGACTCTGATGTAGCTGATGACGTCCATGCCAACACGGTTAGGAAACTGGACTTCCTGTCCATCAGGAAGCTCCACCTCAAACACGTCTCCTGCCAGCTTCAGTACAATCTAAAACAGAAATTATTTTTTTAATAGAAACACTCTGACACATATGAAACTAAAACTATCCACATGGCAGGGAAAGTGAACAAATATTTTTTCTTCAAGCCATAAGCTTTTCAAAAATTTCCTCATCAAATTTTTTACAATACTTTTCATGAAGTAAATGCATCTTCTCTTCCCCTAGCTCTACTCACCTTGACGTCTGCGCCTCTCTGTAAGGGGTTGTGTATTTCCCGTTTCTCGTCACCCCAACAACCATCAGTCTTTGAGTTGCACACGAGCACAGCTCCATCTGTGTCATCATGGAAACGAGGGTTAAAGTGCAGCGCCAGGTCGTCTGCATCACAGCCGAGGTCGATCTGGAATCTGAGTTTATACAAGAAATGTGGTGTAAACACCCAGGTGTTTGCAGAGCTCAGAACACCACACAGGCTTGTAACACTGGACATGTAATCTACAGACTATTGATAAAAGTGCATGTTTACAGATTATTTATTTTTTACTACAGCAACAAACCCGAGTGTATCTGCGTAGATATTACCGTATTATTTTATTCAGTGAAGAGGGTAATATTAAACAAGTATAATGTGTTTGGTGAGCTTACCTCTCAGCATCGTGCAGAATTACTCCCTTTAGTTTCAGCTGATCTCCAGCTCGCAGATCTACATTCTTCAGTTCAAGTTGCTGAGAAACACACTTGTGTAGTTCAGCGTTTCAAACAATTTCATGAGCAGATGAAAGATTATTGATAGTCATTATGGTAGCAGATTTGGAACAATCAAATATTGATATTTATCAGCTGTTTTATTCAACAAATAACAAATTCCATGGTGCAGAACAGTGAAATAAAAGCCGTGGCAGATTTAAACTTACCAGGCTCATTTTTGGTGAAGAGTCCTTGAGCTAATGGAAGATGTAGGATGATGGTGTTGGTACAGAGACACAGTCTTCTGTCCTGGAAGACAAAATGTAAGTGGTGTGGTTGTAAAGTCTTTATTTATAATATAAAGTACAAAAGACACAGTGAAATGACTTTTAACAGTTACAATGGGGCCCCAGTCATCATTATCATCACAATGAAGCAGCCTATTCAATGTAGATGCCCTGCTCTGTTTAATCATTGCTGTTGAACTCATTTTGCAAATGAGATGAGTTGTCTCCTTGGTCATTGAGCAAGAGTAACAGCTGCTGCAGTGCCACTGTAAGGTGATGATCAAACCTGATTTAGATTGAGAGCCACTGCGTACATTTAGGAATCTTAAATTTACACTGGAGAGAAACAACTACCAGAGTATACTGTGCCTGTGGTGGTGCAAATAAATAAATGAATCCTCCTCAGTCTAGTTTCCTCTAACTCGGATCCTACTGCCCCTTTGAACGTCCAGACAAGATGGTGTCCAACAAGCAGCAATGATGATGGGGCAGCAGGTGGAGCAGCTCCATGTTGTCACATAATGAAACCTCCCTCAAGAAAAAAACAGCCTGAACACAAGTTTGCAGAACAGTTATCATATTGTCTTACTTTTCATGATTTTTAAAAGAAAATTAGCTACTAAACGCTCATTTCTAATGACTTTTTGCATTACTCCTGTGCTGCTCTCCATCTAACAGAATTACAAGACTGAACAAAATAAATTACAACGTATGAATTTATTAAACATACCTTTACATATTAACATATATAGATAATTACTTTCTTTCTAATAGAGAGAAAGTAGGTCCTACATGAAACTGCTCAAAATAAAGGTTTGTGGATTATCTTGAGTAACCGGGTCATTATTTCTGGAAAGAGACTCTCCTAAATCCCTCATTCTGAAGTAAGCCATAGGAAAAATTCTTTTGTTTTTTAGGTTAGATATTATGGGTAAATATATTTTGTAAGCTGTGCTTTATATTTTACAGAAAACAGTGGGAGTAACCAGATGTATCATAACAGTCAACACTCCATCCCTCTCTTCTTGCTGGATATAATTCACATTATGTTTACATCCTAAATGCATGCATGAGGTAGCTCTGATCCAAAAGCAGAATTAAACGGGACAAAAGTGAGTATTAAGAATGATAGTAAAGCATAGAGAAGATAATTAACACTTCATTATTATCAAATTAAAATCTGTGTTTTTCTGGCCATAATCAATTAAAACGTTAAAAATGTTCATCTCACCCTTATTTGGTTTAATCTGAATGTAAGAGATTAGCAAAGAGACAAAAACAAACTCACCAGCCCCAAAGTAAAATTAGCTGGAGTTCATTTTCTATTTTAGTCATCAACTACTTTATTCACTAACTGAGAGGACTGCATGGAGCTGGTAAAAGTCTGGACTGTGTCTCCATCCACAGAATGGTGGATGAAGTAAATAATAAGCCATCTGATCACATCCTGGTGTTGCTCAGAACTGTCAGTAACTACGGACTGTGATTCCATCCTCAGAGCTTGTGTACCTGGACAGCTTGAATCATCTTGGCCACCTCTACTTTAGTCTTTCCCTTCACCGGTTTCCCGTTCACGCCTGTGATTTCATCGCCTGCTGCCAGCGTCCCCTCCAGAGCTGCTGGGGTGTTATCAAAGACCTGTGGGACAACAGAGGCCACTTTTCAAAAGGTACCAATGGCAGCTTCATCCCAAGGGTCTGGAGCATGACCACTGTAAGGGGCAGTCTGGGATTACTGTACAATAACAATACAAAGCCAAACGTGTCTCCCCAGTACAATGCACCTCTTCCACTGGTGGATGGGGCCTTACTGTAACATCTAACCACAGCTATCATAAACCTAGTCAAGTAAGGAAGAGTGGTTCAAAACTGTACTTGATTACAGTATTTGATAGTTATTTGGGACACTTTGTATAATAAAGTATTAAGAATGCTGCAGCTTTGTAAGTTGCAGGTGTGTTGACAGATTTGAGCTTGATCATGTTTGATTGATCATTAATGGAATCAGGACATCTACACTTTCATTCTTACGGGAGAACGTCCCCCACCCCCCGCATGAGACTCAGTAGAGGACAGCTCATCTGTTCATAAAGTTCTTCTTATCTTATCTTCTCTTATCTTAATAGAGTTAGGACTGTGTCACTTTCAGTTTTCCTTTTGTTGTCACTGATGTGCATATGGAACCCTAAACCTGTAACACTTCATAACAAGCTAGATGAAGCTTTATGTGTTTATTTATGTTTATATATAAATAATGTACAACAGAATACACTTAGGTTTTTTATTATGTAATATACATGCTTAGCTTTGGGTTCTTTGGTCTTTCGGGTGGATGAACTCTGTCTGTTGCTAGGTTCAAGAAACACACAAATGTGGTTTCAACAGAGGATTTGAAAAAGTTTCTCTGACTCTTAATCGACTGAAACCCAGAGAAGAGACATAGACGTAATAACACAACTGTAACTAATTGTCCCTCAGGTTGACAATATTCTCTGATTTTTGCAGGGGAACCACAATGGTGAGACAGGTTCTCTTGGACGTTCTGGACGACTTGGCAGACAAAGAATTTAAGCGCTTCAAATTCTTCCCGGGGAGAATAAAATCCTCAAAGGAAGAAAAACCCTCAGAAGGGCTGACTTGGAGAAGGCGGACAGGCTGGACACTGTGGATCTGATGGTGCAGACCTATAAACGTGATGAAGCTCTGGCCCAAGAGAGCGAATGATCAATGTTCATAAACAGAATAAACAGTGATTGTAAGAGAAATCAGAGAGGAATGCATGAGAGACTGAAAGCCACTTGAATTTGCCTTTTTAGATTTTAATTTGAAGAATTAAATGACCTGGTGTTTGAGTTTTCATTTACAACAACCGCTGGCATAAAAACAATCTATTAGGTTGTCACTGACGATAAAAGAGACTTAAATCTTTTATCTGCACAAGACAGTGCTAAGTGAATATAATGTAACCAATGGCTTCCAGGCTAGGTGAATCTAGTTGATCGATTCTCTCTGACATTGGGGTCGATGGCACTAAAGATTCAGCGTAGAGACTCCTCTCGCTCGCCCTCCAGCGCTATAGGTGACAACCGAGTCTGACACTTGGAGATACAGTTTATATTTAGTACTGATGACAACAGCTCTGTGTGTCACTGGTGACGGTTGCTAACTACCATATCTCTGTGCAGGCAGGATAATGAATGCGCATAGTTGTTCCAGACATAATACACTTGAGCATCAAAACAGTATAATCTCATGTGTGTGCAAGTTAGAGAGATCCGAGAGAAAGAAGAGAAAGAGAGAGACAGACTTGTGCTCACATGGATAATCTTCATAATAACTACACAAGATCCCTACCAAATACCCTTAGAAACAGTTATAAGAAGTGACACGAGCTTGGTGTAAGACAACAGCTCCAGTGAGAGATAACAGTCTTCTTCGCGGATGTCGAAATAATGATGAACTTTGACTCCACTGAATAGAGAAGAACTTCACACTGTACGCTCAGTCTTGTGTGTTCGTAAGGTTTTCCCATCATAATCAATGTCCCCATCACATAGAGATTGAACCACTCACTACAGCTCATATTGCTGTTTCATGCACATCACCACCATGAAATATTACATTCAAAAGGTAGGGGCACTCTCAAGGCTAATAACCCCGCTGATCAAATAAGATCAGTTACATATGATAATCATGAGAGGGAAAATACAAAAACAAATTAACAGGCTTTTAGTCTGAATTGGGGGATTATCAGACCGAATTTCATTTTCAGTTTTAGAATAACTGAAAATCCACTTAGAGACAAGACATACAAGCTCAGACGCTCTATCTGCTCCCCACCATTCATCTACAGTACTGTGGTTTTATGATGCATTCAGTCTGCTTTAACATCTGTGATACAGATGTGATACATAACGAGGACACACTTTTATGTCTCCTCGATGCAGCTCATGATATGTCCATCGTGCCTGTTGTTAGTACCTGATACGCCTTGGTGTCAATCAACATACATTAGAGTGAATGAAGGCCTGGTGGGCTGCTCTCTATCTCCCCACTCTGCTGGTGGAGCTCTGACCTCCCTTCCTCAATCTTCGTCTTGTTGAAATGTTAAAAAAAGGAAATCACACATGATACAAAATCACACATGATCAAACAGTCTATAAATTTTTGATCGCCTTCTGTGTGACGCGAGTCAGCAAAGTCTTCTGCCATGTCTATCCATTTTTTCTAAAAACATCCATTCTCCTTTGTTGAACTGTTGCACGTCCAAGTAGGTTTGTCTGTGGAAGCTGGTAGATTTAGTGCACATAGGAGAGAGGGAAGAGAGTTGGTTTGTGTGTGGACATTTCACCGTGCTGCTGCACTACAACTCATTTGCCACCTGTTGTGTGAAGCAGATGTGTGCTGCATCATTCTCGCGATGCTCAATTAATAGACTCTCAGAGTGCAGGGTGCGCTTACCTTATCGAGTGCAACGAGAGATTTGACGAAGACTATTCCTTGCTTTTATAATCTACGTTGTGCGTGTGTGACAGTGACATGAGGTTTACAACGTGTTTGCTCCATTTTATTGTGAATCTCCTCAACACGAATACAATTTATTTGTGTGATTCCACGTTCAGGTTGACATGAGAGACACGAGATTGATGAGGCAAAACAGGGACGTTTTATTTATCTTTAATGACACAGTAAAATGTCCCAGGATGCACTGCAAGATCATATGAACAGTTTAATCTGAATATTAGGTGATATATACATACATTCCGTTTGTTTAAAATCCAGGTAAGGACTGGTCCCTGGTATTTCTCTCTCAGACTACCATCCAGATGTGGAAAACGTGACAATAACTGTTCAGACGTGATGATAGGATTCCACACAGTATACGATAGGCCAACACAACACGAAACATAAATCCCCAATTTAATCTGCTTTGTTGAACACGCTGTGAGTCCGAACAAAC